GTAAAATCAATAAAATTGATAACTTTGAACCTTTACAAAAAAATTTTTTACTAATATAAATGAAAAAAACTCTCTGAAAGGCCCTTAATTGAGCATCTGCAAATACAATCACGGAAGGATTATTCCAACAGCTTGCTTGATTATCGAGCCTTTACGTTTTAAAGTTTAAATAAATCTTTGATTATTTACTATAATGTTTGATGATGATCAACCATTGTGACCAAGTTTCAATTATTATAAATCATAAAAATATTTTATTATATATATTTCTGAGCAACATTTTTAAAAAAGCGTCAGTCTACTATTAATTGAATAATTAATTATTCCTTCATTTTTTACTATCTCACAATATAAAAATATGAAGAGATTTCCAGATATTCATGCATCAAGTGGAATGAATTCAAAAAAACAACGAAGTTTGGATAATTTAAATTTGCTTGATGATGAAAACTTACAATCTTGGATTGAGAAATTTAAACTTCAATATGGATTAATTATCAATGAAATGGGCATAAAAAAAGGAAATATCCAACCTTTTAATTCTTCAACAAATCTAAAAATTAATAAAATTAATCCAACTGATTCTATAAAAACCAGCTTGACAATCACAAATTCATTATTACATTCTTATCTTTTAAAAAGTAATATTAAAGTTATTGATGATGAAATGATAAAATTCTTTGACCAAGAAGATCTTTTTATTAATTCAAAAGTAAAAGATTCATGGAATTCAGAATCTGAACAAAATACAAAGGATTCATGGAATTTAGAATTTAAGCGAACAATTCATTATGAGATTAGTAGTCAGCAAATTGAATTGACATTTGAAAACTTTGTACCATCAAATAAATTAATTAAAGATGTGCACGAAGCATTAGATACAGAAAATCCTTATCATGAGCTTGAAATTATATTTAATGAATATGGTCATTTATTATGTAAAAAAATTATATTAGGTGGAAAATTATCAAGATCACTACATTTGGATTTGAATGGTAATAACAATAATTATTATAATTCATTAATCTTTAAAATTATCATTTTTTTAATATATTATTATTGATTTAAATTATTATTATGTAAAAACTATATTAGGTGGAAAATTATCAAGATCACTGCATTTGGATTTGAATGGTAATAATGATAATTTATATAATTCATTGATCTTTGAAATTATCATTTTTTTTATATATTATTATTGATTTAAATTATTATTATGTAAAAACTATATTTGGTGGAGAACTATCAAATTCACTAAATTCAGATTTAAATGGTAATAATGATAATTATTATAAATTTATATAATTCATTGATCTTTAAAATCATCATTATTGATTTAAATTATTTAAATTGTCATGTGAAAAAATTATATTAGGCGGAAAATTATCAAGATCACTACAATTGGATTTAAATGGTAATAATGATAGTTACTCTAAATTTATATGATTTGTTGATCCTTAAAATTATCATTTTTTTTTTATATATTATTATTAATTTAAATTATTTTATCTTTAGAAAACTTATTTAAAGAAAGGACAATTGAAAAACAAATAGATACATTAAGCATGAATAACAATAAAGAACTTGATGAAATGTTAAAAGAATGGGATGATATTCATAGGAAGGTTGATTATGATTTTGATTTGGATAATGAATTTTTTTTTAACAAAAATGGACATACTACAAAAAGAAATTTAGTAATTGAGTGGATAAAAATAATGGCTGAAGATTCAGGATTTTGGGATGTAATTTATTATGCTGATCTAATTCCACTATATAAAATTTTAGAAGAATCATTACAAAAAGAAATTGAACTTCTTTTCAAAGATCAAATATTAATGATAGATTCAATCAAAATTGAAGATAAAAATACAAAATATTATAGAGTTGATTTTAAAACTCCTTTGAAAAGTGATAAATATCAAATTTATGGAGTCATTTTTAATAAAAATTCTGAAAAATGCTTTGATATTATCATCAAATTTAAATATTTTGATCAGTATGGATTTTCAATAATCATTGAAAGGTATATAATATTATCCTTATATTAATGACAATATATTAAAAAAAATTTTTTTTTATTTATTTTTATAGGTTTGATGAAAACCAAGATGATATTTCTCATATTCAATGGGAAATGGTTGGTTCTCCTGCAGAAATAGGATTTTATAGTAAAAATACTAGAAATTTAGAAATGATGAATAGTGAAGAGGTGAATTTTTTCATTCATCAAATATCCCTATTTGAAATTGAACAAAATTTATTACATAGCATTATCATGACTACATTTAAATGTACCCATTATTTATTTATTTTATCATTAGAGTTCCAGAACTGATTTAGATGATATCTTTAGGATGACTTCACTAAATAATTCTCTTGGTGGTGGAGGTTTCAGAGATTTTCTCAATAGTTATTATTAATTACTGATTATTGATTTGTTATTGATAAATTATTTAAATATTCTCATTATTAGATAAAGGAAAAAATGTAGAAAATACTGATGAAATTGTAGAAGAGGAGGATAAAGGTATTATTATAAATTTACTTTTACAAAGCAAATAATTTTTATAAGTATTATATTATAAACTTTACAACACAAAATGGTTTCTATTAAATAACTTTTACAACACAAAATAATTATTATTAAAACATCATCTAATTAAATAAATTTATTTTTTATTTTTAGGAAGTATGTATTACATCATAAATTAACTTTTACAACACAAATAAATTTTATTAAAACATCATCTAATTAAAAAAATTTATTTTTTATTTCATAGAGCGTAAGTACTGTATTATAAATTAACTTTTAAAACACAAAATAAACTTTATTAAACATCATCTAATTAAATAATTTTATTTTTTATTCTTAGGAAGTAAGTATTATATTATAAATTAGTGTTCACAACACAAAATAAACACCATTTAATTAAATAAGTTTATTTTTTATCTCATTATAATAACCAGTTGGTAAGTATCATATATAAATTAACTCTTACAACACAAAATAAACTTTATTAAAACATCACCTAATTAAATAAATTTATTTTTATTTCATAGAGCGTAAGTATTATATTATAAATTAACTTTTACAATACAAAATAAGCTTTATTAAAATATCATCTAATTAAATAATTTTATTTTTTATTTCATAGAGAGTAAGTATTATATTATAAATTAACTTTTACAACACAAAATAAACTTTATCAAAACATCATCTAATAAATTTACTTTTTATTCTTAGGAAGTAAATATTATATTATAAATTAACTTTTACAACACAAAATAAACTTATTAAAACATAATCCAATTATTTTTATTTCATAGAGCGTAAGTACTATATTATAATTTAACTTTTACAACACAAAGTAAACTTTATTAAAACATCATCTAGTTATTTTTTATTCTTAGGAAGTAAGTATTATATTATAAAATTAATCTTTATGACACAAAATAGACTATCACCTAATTAAATAAATTTATTTTTTATTCATAGGAAGTAAGCATTATATTATAAATTAACTTTTACAACACAAAAAAACTTTATTAAACATTATTTAATTAAATAATTTTATTTTTTATTTCATAGTGTGTAAGTATATTATAAATTAATTTTTACAGCACAAAATAAACTTTATTAAAATGCCATTTAATCAAATAAATTTTGTTTTATTTCTTTATAATAATCAGCTGGTAAGTTTCATATTATAAATTAACTTTTACAAACTTTATTAAACATTATCTAATTAAATAAATTTATTTTTTACAACACAAAATAAACATCATCTAATTAAATAATTTGTTTTTTTATTTCTTTATAATAACCAGATGGTAAGTA